TGTTTTAGATTAATATACGTTCATTGCGTACACGTGGGATGACAAATTTTTCGGTTGATTATTTGTTGTGGCATCATTTCGGTAACCACGTCACGTTAAATCCTCCCGATACTGTTCGTCGTTATCGTGCATATTTGCAGCATCTTCCAAATCCGAAGAATTTGTCTGCTTTTATTGAAGCTTATCTAAAGTATGATTTGAAATCAGAATTTAAAAAATAACCTAATGTATTTAATGAATATAAAATAAAAGGGAGATATATTATATTAGAAAAGAATAAATTATATTCGATAAAAAGGAAAGTTGTATTATATTAGTTTTTTAGTTTGCTAATATTTGTATTTTGCTAATATCCTGGTGAAGTTTTAATTTTTTCCAGCCGAACACCAATATCTATTTCACGTGATGGTACTATGGGTCCAAAATTAAACGTACCTGTTCTGCAAATTGTAGGCGGTGACTCTGCATTTGTTAAAGATTCGGTAGAATTGAATGCTCGATTGAATCCGGCAGACTCAGAATGGCTCAAGGTTAATGTTACAATGATTTTTTGTTTTTTTTTTTTTTTTTTTGATTGTTATTTTTGTCCTATATAGCGTATTTCAATGTTATAGGATTTATCTGTTAATGGATCATTTGTAGGAAATTTGATGTCATTTCAATACATTTTCCAGTACTTCTTTTTTTAACTATTCGTGTGTTGATTTATGATTAACTTTTTTAGCTTTCGGGATCAGGAGGGCTTGTTTTGGATGACAAACCGGAAGGTGTGGCGCAAGCAATTATTTTATTCTTACAGGGACGTGGTTTCGGTTAGTTTTTTGTGTGTTTTAATTGTTGAAAAAAAAAAAAAAAAAGAGCTGAAAAAATTTATTGTACAGGAAAATATTCTTGCATTAGCACCACTTAAACTACAATTTTATTACCATTGTTTCATTGAACATTAATAACCGCCGTTTAATTAACTATCAACTAAAGATATACACTAGAAACTGTAAAATTATATTTATTTTTTATGAACTATTAAGTGTTCATACCAGTTGTTATTATTTAATGATATAAATAAAAACAATAATAATTTATTCAGTGGTCCTTACCATAATCATCTTTTTGATCATATTTTGAGCAGATAAATTGTTGTCATTTTATCACTTTTCTTTTTTTTTTCTTTTTTATATTTTCATTATAAATAAAAATATAAATTGCTATAACTATCTTTCATTATATCTTTTTTTTTTCAGTGCCTACCACAAACGTGCAGGATATGATACGCAAAATTTCGGTACAATCAACATTTGATGGTGGTGAGGAAGCGATGACGGTGCTAGAAAATGTAAACGAAATAAATTAAATATTAAAATTTACTTTTTTTTTTTTCTATGTTTACAATTTTTATACTTAATCTCTTCATCACTCATTTATATGACCTGTTTATATTGCCTTTTACAAATAATACAGTATTTACTTATCTTTTTTGTTGCTATTCATAATTTTTCAGTTCACATAGGATAATAGCTCACATATTTCATTCTAATTTATGGTTTTAAGCCTTATTATAATTTCTAAGTTAGTGCTACTTATGGTATAAAATTGAAACTTATTTTGATGAGTAAGTTGTTGTTTTAATTTGGCAATATATCATTATTATATGAATTAACATTTAAATATTATGCACCGCAAATTTACTCATTTACTTATTCCATCATTGTATGTCATGCATTGGAGGATAATTTTTGTTTTCTTTTTTTGATATCATCACTTCATTAAAGTAATATTATTATTATTCAACTTTTCGTGTAAATTTGAAATTTAAACTGTTGCATCCATGAACTGTCAAATTTTGTGTATTAAATATTTTATCTGTATTAAATATTAAGCACTTTATAGAAAAAAATTATCCTCCAATGCATCAAATTCGTTTTATTGATTGTCTTTTTGTATTAAATTCGTTTTATTGATTGTCTTTTTGTATTGAATTTTTGTATTAAATTTGTTTTATTGATTGTCTGAAAACAGGTCATTTAATGAAGTGAGGAGTTATTATTGCTTATTTAATTCTTATTCAGTTTTCTAATAATTTAAAGTTTTAGTTTGTATTTGAAATTACTTCAGCTTAAATAGAGTGATAATTTTTCGCTTTGTATATTACTTACGGTTTAGTGTTGCTTTAATATTCTTGCATTTTGAATATCCGATGAATAGCAGTATTAATTTTGTCTATCATTTATTTTAATTCGTATGCTTATTGTTTGAGCATTTGAGCAAATTTTTTTAGTTGTATTGCTGTTTTTATTTGATAAATGCGTTTGTTTACTAGTATTTTAAAGAAATAAGTTGTGCGATCTCTCTCTCTCTCTCTTTTCTGATTTCTGTTTGCTTAATTTTTTTCCTATATATGCATATATTTGTTAAGCTATATTATATCAGAGTATATTATATCAGAGCATGAAGTTTATTGCACTATGCGGTTTCTACTTAAAATGTATATTGGAAAGATTCACAATTATCAATTTTTTTTTTTTTATTCCATTATCGTCATTACTATATTTTTCAGTTATATATTATTTTATGCCCATTATTTTCATGTGTGTTACCTTTTTTTTAAATGCAATTTTAAATGTTTTCCTAATGTAAGTAAGCTATACCTTTCTCTCTGTTTCTACTATATGTTTACATATGTGTGTATGTGCGTGTGTTTATGATCTTAGTAAGAAATAATCGATGACCAGTTTGTAAATAATTTTGTGTTAGAAAATCGACGATATAAAATAGTTTTTTCATTTAGCACAATTGATTAGAATATAAAACTTTAGCATATTTATTACAGAAAAGAAAAGTATAAGCAATGGCGCGTATATTTTATTCGCTTAATAAAATAAGGATGAGATTATAAAGAGTTAAAATGATGGGAAAATATTCTAGCAATGATTCCATGAAATTTGAACTGATCACTAAATTCATAAATCAAAATTTGAACTGATCACTAAATTCATAAATCAAAATTGTGAATTGATTCAAAACGTTATCAGTCTTTTTTTTAAAAAAAGGAAAACAGGTAAAATACCTTATTCTCAAATTGAAGTAGATAGGAAGAAGACAACCTGATAAGTGATTCAAAAACCGATAAAGTTTCGAAAAGTCAGGGGTGTGGCGATAGAGTAGTCTGAATTGAGTTCATATATGTGGGTGACAATCGCACTCAGCGCAGCTAGTACCGGCACCGTGGTTCAAACTCAGTACCATCACCACGATCGTATCAGGTTCTCCCTAGCACTAGGTAAAACCGTCTTGTACTTCTAGGGCGATTGGTACCAAGGGCAAGTTTCTGGTACGGCACCACGACGGCTTGCATCGTTCCCCTGCTAGAGGATACAACCAACCAAATCGGGTTGGGACCTAATCTCAGACCTTCCCAGGAGAAATATCATTGGGTAATTAAATACCCGTGCGTTACTCCTTTTGTCACCTTATCACCACACTACCAGACTGGTGGGCACCAAAACCATTCAATATATTAAGCAGACGAATGAATGCATTAAACAATGAGTTGTTTGTGATAGAGATGCAGACAATACTCTCTTGTTGCTATAGAAGTCTGTTGTGATGTAACACAAATCCCTTACATGTACCTTTTTTCAAGAATGTTATTACACATTTCACTTTTTCCCCGAAATAATTCTTTGGGGAACTTCCATTGGTAACAAATACTACCCGACAACCTGATGAATCATCAGAGGAACTAGAGAAAGTGTTAAACAAGAAGAAAAGAAACGTAATATATTAAAGATTATAATCATTGACCGAAGATGAAATAAACACTTTTCAGATTTCTGTTATAAAACCATTGCGGTACCAATTAAAATGTTCCACTTAAATGGACTCATTGTTTCAAAAAAGAAATATTAAACCATACTTTATAATTCATTTTATGACTTGACGTATTGTTTTATCTATGTTCATCATATTTGACGTATTATTTTACGTGTGCTCATTTTGGCATAAGCATGCATATACATGCATACACGCAAAAATCGTCAATTATGTAAATCAGGCTGACATATAATGCATATAAAATTATTTCTCACCGTTTTGCATAATTGCAGCATTCCAGAAATTGCATTTTAAGAGGCAAGAGCAAATCTATTATGAATGTGTTTTAAATTATTTATTGGCTATGATATTCGAATTTTTAGCTGAGAAATTTGAGTTTTAAAGTTGTTCCAAAAATATCTGAGTTATGAATATTCAGAAAGAAATAAACATCTGATACACACTCGATGCATTCACACATATATATGTGCACAGCTCACATAAGCGTAAGCATACACGTACAAATACGCAAGCAAATAAATAAACAAACAATATGGAAACAGTTGAATAAACAAATTTAAATACTGAATCCAAAATTTTTTGTTATTAGAACGTATCTATAAAAACTATATTACGCCGAATAATCCCTTCCAAAATTGTTTCTGAATGAAAAGTTTTTGGTTGTTACTAATGTAAAATATCCCTGAAAGAGCAATCTATTTGATTTCAATTCGAAACTATTGTACAATGATTTGATCAATTTTCACACAGATCTTAGTTTGGTCTGAAATAAGGCTTATTTCATGGTTTGATGGTGCACCGTACAACTTATTGCAGGGCAACGAATTATTTATATTTGTTTATTTTTTTTTTTTTTGTTTCGTATTTTGGTGGCTATGACTTCTTGTTAGGTCTTATTAATTTTCCGCTACAGGGTTGCTTGAAATTTTTTCCCCAAAATTTGTGTTATGGCCAATTTATTTTTAATCAACAGTCATAAGTTTCATCATTTATCTGTGGATGGTATTATAGATTTGGTTTGCAGTGCATTAAAATGAATGCTTAGAAATAAATTTAGTGCATGATTTCAGGAAGAACAATTATATCTATCAGAAACATTGGTTTGGAAGTGGCAGTTTTAATGAATATTTAAATTTATTAACTTAAACTGGGAGAAGAGTGGATGAACAATGGAGACAGAGGTTGTAAGAGCATTTAATGCTGAGGTATAATGTTTTTATGGTATTATTTCGTATTTTAAACGAGCTATTGATACCAAAACGAATCTGTATTTACAACATAAGTGATATCTGTGAATGATTTTATCGCTCATATTGCTGACATAGGATGTAACTTTTCGCGAAGACAAAACATACTGCATTATGCCAAGATGAATCGTATAGGCATCCCAAAATTTATGCTTTTCTAAAATCATTTATATGCAAAAAATGAACTGGTGATATTGTTAAATCCTTAAATTATAATTTATTGGTATATATATACCTTAGCAAAAGATGTAACAAGTCTGAACTGACAGTTTTATAATAGCCTTTCAGTTGGTATCTTTGTACGAATTACGGCCACCGATAAGTAAGAAAAAGATTGTGGATATCACAAAAGCAGCAATGAAAGCTATTAAATATTACAAACATGTTGTCTTTGGTGTTGAAAAATTCCTAATGAAGGTAATAGAATTTAAAAATTTTAATAAAGATGATAAGGTTTATTATTTAGTGGTTTTAATGAAAACGAAAAGACGGCACATACTTGTTTTTTTTAAAGATAGATTTTTTTTTAAAAGATTTTTTAAAGATACAGTTGTTATTTTGATAACGTTCGATATATTAAAAAGATGTAAAATGAATGCGGAATTCGAACGATACTTTCTTGATGTAGTAAGGTGGATTTCATAAATGTGAATTGTTTGATGTGTGGGTAAAATAATATTTCTTAATTTCTTTGTTATTTACCTGTCTCTGTTTCTATTTTCAGTGCAAAGCAGAATATAAGGTACCTGGTCTGTATTGTATCGATTCTATAATACGGCAATCGCGTCATCAGTTCAAAGATAAAGATGTTTTTGGTCCACGTTTTGCAATCAATATGCAAGCAACTCTTTCAAATCTGTTGAACTGTAAAGCTGACGAAAAGGTATTCTAATTTTTTAGTCATTTCCATCTACAATTTATTGAGATAAGGCGTTAGCTATATATAATTGCTTTTTTTTTATAATCTCTGTCATTAGGCTTTTTTATATATAGTATTGTAAGTTACAGTTTTTGTTAATATCACTTGATTAAACATTTCATAAAATTATTCTATTCTGTTTCATATTCACGATAATTTTTATAGTTGAAAGTGGTTCGAGTTTTGAATTTATGGAAAAGTCATGAAATATTTGATACAGCAAAGTTACGACCATGGTTGGACTATTGCCGGGATGTTCATGGACTTGGTTTCTTTTTTTTTTTAGCTTTATAGGTGTCATCATTTTTTCCAGAACTCCAATTAGTTGTGCTATAAACTCAGTTCTGTCATTTCCAGAACAGTTGATTGTGAATGGTTGAATTTTCAGTATCTGGTACTTCTTTTATGATGTTTAAAAAAAAATAATGTTCTCTAAGGAACAACAAAGTCAACAAAACAAGTCTGGAAGTGAGAAAAGTCATATCAAGAAATAAATGTTTTAAATTGTAACATTTGAAATGAAATTATGAATATCAGTGAGAACATTTTGTAGAAACAGACGTTGTGGTCGTAGAAAAAAGTGTAAAGGGCGATCAAGCGGATTTCTCGATATATAGTCGCATCCCTGGTCGTGGTGAGAAGCGAAAAATAATGGAATCGCATACTCCATTATCTGTATGTTGCAGAATATATATATATATTTTTCTTTTTCAAAAATAATGCAAAGAGAAGTTTTTGATTTGGGATAAATTATTGTTTGAATAGATAAGTTTCAGTTTAAATAGATTACTTTTTTTTTCAATTCAATTTTCTAGACTCTGTTAAATTTTTACTCAGTTGTTGCTTTTTAATTCAACGATTATCAAATATAAGTGGAAAGTATATAAGTATCTGAAAAGAGTTTTCCGACAACTTTAAAATTTTTAGGGAAGTCGATCTCGCACACCACCTTTGCCTTTGCGTGAACCAAGTGATGATGCTGTAGAAGGGGGCGTAAGCGAGCGTGAAACTCTTGCGATGCTAACTACAATGGGTTTGGATCTTGGCGGAATGTTTACTTCCGATTCATCGTTGTTGCAAAAAGTCAATAAATTAGTAAATAATAAACTTATTGAACGTCGGGAATTGGATTCGAAACGACAGGGAAACATTAAGGTTTGTATAAGGTTTTTTTTATTTATTTATTTTTATAAACGTTTATATGTTATTTGATGATTGGCTTAGCACTTTTTTTAATTGGTGATTCTAGGGTAGAGTAAATGCTTTTACTGATTATTACTGATAATCATATCAAGGGATTTCAAGTGTCTTCCGAACATAATTTAAATGACTTATTGCCACACAATTTATTATTCTCTATTGAAATCTATTGATCTCTATTGAGAAAATTTAGTAAAAACGACTACCGTGAACTTTTTTTTTCTCTAAACAAGTCATTGTTTTATTGCATTTTTTTTTCGGAATCTTCTTTCCATTTTTTCCTCTAAACAAGCCATTGTTTTATTGCATTTTTTTTTTCGGAACCTTCTTTCCATTTTTTCCTCTAAACAAGTCATTGTTTTAATGCATTTTTTTTTTCAGAATCTTCTTTCCAAAGAATTCGATTATAGTGATGAAGATGACAGCGGTGATGATGATTTTAGCCGCAAGTTGGACATAGAAGGAAAGCCTACGGAGTTGACGAAACAGCAAATTATAGGGTATTTGTTGATTCCTGTATAAAATTTGCTATTTTTATCAAAAAACTTGCTAAAACTAAAATTTACTACTTTGGTTTTAAGAAATGATTGGAAGGTACAATGAGTGAATGATAGATACGTTGAGTGAGGTAAGCGAATGGTGAATATGTCATCCTTTGAAAAGTGACTGATCATTAGACATTAGCTCGAACTAATTTGATCTGTCACTATAACTGTTGATTTGGGAAGAGTATAACAGTGAAAATGGTCTAACAAGAATCAGGATTATTAGTCAATTATATTTTTAAACGTCACGTCATTAGAAATATCCTAAATTAATGTACTGAAATGCATTCCTTCGCTACTCAACTACATGTTACAGTATGGCGGAAGCAGTTCTTCGAGAGCCAGATACAAAGGAAGAAATACAACGTATGCACACGGAGCGAATTTCAGCTTTGTCTCAGGCAGCTGCAGCAAGGGTTCAAGCTGTTAAGCAACAACAACAACAACAACAACAGCAGCAACAACAACAACAACAACAACAACAACAACAACAAGGAAGTGTGCCTTCAGCTCGTACATTGGCAACTCAACCAGGTGCACCTCCAATTACAATTCCGCTAAATCCAATTACTACTCCACAGACGAATATGGCGGCTGCTGTTCCGCCACTTTCGATTCCGATGCCAAGTCAACCATTACAACCTCAAGCAGCAACAAATATGTTATCGCCTAGATCAGCACAACAGTTTGTAAGTTTTTTGTGTGATCATTCTTTCCTTTACTCTATGTTTATTTATTTACAATGGAATTTGATCTTATCCGAAAGCACTATTTAATTTAGTAAAAATAATATTTGATCTGAAAAATAACAAAATTGGATGGTATTATATTTATTTAATGGAATGAATATGTATACGTTTATTCTTATGTATACGTTCATTGTTACGGAATCCGAAAAAAGTTTCATAAATTCTTTACTAGGAAGCTTTGATAAACTCTGATTATGTTTCACATTTTTAGCAGCAATAATATACTAATCAAATTAATAAATGAAATTTTTGATGATTAGTGTCATATTCCTTTTTTGATTCCTTCTTCAATTAGCGTATCTAACTTCCCATTTTTTTTAAATTACAACCGTTATTTGTTTCAGTTGCTTAACGCGAGTGGGTTAGTTGGATTTGCGCCGAATTTGCCGCCACCAAATCTTTTGGGTGTGATGCCTCCGCAGATCCCTACTTCGATGTCTAGCGTATTGCCACTTGCAAGTACGATGGACGCTGGCAGTCGAGATCGTAATGATATTGATCAGGTTTTTTTTTAGTCCTATTATATTTGGCACGATTTCCTTTTTTGATTCTTGAAAATATTAAGTCGTAAGAATGTAAAGTAGCCACGTTTCTATCACCAATATAATCCTTTGCAGAAAGTTTTGAAAGCTAAAAAAAATGTACATCTCACTATTTCTTTTCAGTTCATATTATTTAATGATTTTGGAGCAGTTTCGCTGTCTTAACTTTTTTGTTCTTTATAAAAGGAAAAAAAATGCTGCAGGATGATCGCTATCGCAGAGAAGATGATAGATTTGATAGTGATCGAGATGATCGATTAAGACGAGCTCATGACAGAAATGATAGAATTAGTGAAAAGAATGATAAAGGTCAGGAACGGCGACGAGGTCGTTCAAGGTTATCTTTTATCTTTTGAAGTGTGCGATATTTGCCGAAAATAGAATGGTATATAATTGATACTTTCATTTTATTTTCTTGGAATTATTTTTGAAATTGATTTACTCTGTCTGTGATATAATAATTGTGAAGGGATCGTGAACACGATGATAGAGGGAACAGTCGTGGCTTTGGCGATTCACATGCGAAACGCCTGCGACGTAGTCGATCTCGTGATCAAGGCTTTGGAGATCGTAGAAGAGAACATCGTCGTAGTAATAGTCGTGGACGAAGAGGTTTATCACGGGGACATCTTGATAGGGAACGATCGGAGCGTGATCATAACAATCCAGCAGTGAGCTTTATTATCTAAAGCTATAATGATGATTAGATTTTTTCTTCGTTATCATTTAAGACAGTGGTATTATCAAAAAGAAAGCATAATTGGTTTATAATATTTAGAGTCACTTTTTATTTTTGTTTTCAGTACATTATGTTGCAGAATATAATAGTTTCTTTTTATTGTATTAATGAGTAGTCTTTCAGATGTATGAGATAACTTTATAAAAATTAAGATGTTCAGAAATTAAACAAAATTTTAGTCATTGAACACTGCTTGTACTTTCAAATTTTTACAGTACAGAGATTTGGAGCGACAGCGTCGAAAAATGGGTCTTCCCTGGCCACCAAAAGAAGGACACCTGCTGAGTAAGTTATTATAGAAGTATTTGCAACTCGACGTGTTAAACTTTTCAGTGTGATTAAAAAGGCTTATGTGCTTTTCCTCTGACGTGTGGTTTTATTACATTAGCTTTAGTTGTTATTAATTGAGCAATTCCGCTAAGAAGCCAAAAACCAAGTCGTTCCAAATGGTTTCTGTTTTGTTTTCATTTTATGATTTGCCAGTTTCTTTTTATGCAAACAGTTAATTATATCTTTTAAAATTAACTTGAAAACTATATAATCAACTCCTTTTTGCATATTCCGAAGCTTCCAGAGCATATTTCACTACACTTTTGTATTCTCGTTGCGTATACTGCATATCGTTAGAATTGATTTAATCCTATTCCTATACAAACTTATCAAATTTAATTACTTCTGATGGTTTATATTTTTTACAGTAGCTTCATGTACACTATGGTTGGGTAGGATTCCTTCCAACTGTGCAGAAAGTGAAATCCGTCAGGCGGTAGCTGAAGCTGGAGAGCCAGCACGAATTAGCATTATACATTCCCGTGCATGCGCATACGTTACAATGAAAGATAGGAAAGCAGCATTTCGTGTAATGGACCGAATGCAGAAAAATTTTAAAATCGGAGAGAAAAATGTCAAAGTAAGTTCCGAACATCAATGGAAGTATGGGTAAGATATGATTAATAAAATAACTAGAAAGATGTAGACTTAAAATATAAAAATTATACAATTTTTAATATTGGAAGTCTTTAAACGATCTTTACATTAAACTTTTGCATTTTTTGGAATTCCTTTTTATTTTTCAGTTGAATTGGGGCATTGGACAAGGTTTAAAAGGTGAAAGATACGCAGAATACTGGGATTCTGATCGGGGATATTCGCTGATTCCACATTATGCTTTACCTAGTGATTTGGAATCTCTAATAGAAGGAGGTCATCTTGAAGTAGAATCGTTGCCTGCACATCTTGCTGGTAAGTACTTATTTATTTAATTGTTTTTTTTTTTTTTTTTTTCACAGTTCGAAGTTTTTTTTCACAGCACCTATTTATTTTAATTGAACTAAATTAAAATGCATTTAATTGAATTAATTTTAAATAAAGTTGAAAAATGACGAATTCATTACAGACTTATATGATGAACATGGATTGAAAGGAAAGCAACGTGAACAGGATTCAGCTTCTGTTCAGAGTACTTCGAATATTCAGTTACCGCAAGTAGCTCCAAATATGCCTTCATATCAGTTTCCTTGTCAGTTATTCTAAAAGAAATAAGTTATTTACAAATATAATAAGATTCATCTCCAATTTTTTGCCTCGTGACTCTAATATTTCACCATGTTTACATTTTAACTAATCTTTTTTGTTAACAGATGTGTCTTTTTTTTTCTTTTCTTTTGCTAATTTTCTTTGTGGATTTTCAGTGGGTCAACCGCCTCGACTACCTGGAGCTGCTCCCTTCCTACCTCATGGAATGGTGCCAATTCCTGGCATTTTTCCTCCTGGTCTACCTCCTCAAATTGGAGGTGTGCCGCTGGCTGCGCCAGCTCAGAAACCGCAGAACTGTGCACCAACTGATGCCCAAGGAACCAATGCTTCATCTACTCCTTCACAGGCATGATTTCATTACGATTTAGTTTGAGGATTCAAATGCCATTTCATTTTTTAACAATTTTCAAGACATTTACAACAATGGTTTAACTATGACAAATACGCGCGTATATGTCGTAGTGCAGTATCTGTGCGAATCGTGACATGATTTTAATTGTTGAAAATAATTTTAGAACAAGAAGTATTAGTGATTTTGAAGCTATATTAATGTTAATATAAACATATATATATGTATGATGTTTGATGTGTCGTTTTTTCGTGGATTGGACATTGTGAAGTGGATTCCAAAGGTTTCTAGGGAAGTGTACATGCTAAACTCGTATGATGACAGATTTAAGACATTAGTAATTCGTAGTTATGTTGAATAATGGAATATATATATATATGTTTTATTTCAGGCTGCTGCCAATGCAATGAAGGTGGAAAGGATGCGCATGCCAGGTTATTTTTTAAGGATTTTTTTTTTACCTGTCAATATTATTATCCAGCTATGCATTCTATTTTGTTTATAAATTGGTGCTATGGTTTCTACCGGAATCAAAATTAGAACAGTATTGATCATTAACTAATTCAAGATTTTACAAAAGAAATGGATCTTTCATCAAAGTTTGATACTTAGATCTTCCTCCTTCATACTTAGATATTCATAAGGATTGGAAAGTTAACACGAGTTAAGTTTTGTTTATGAATTGAAACAGAGCAAAAATTTTAGGACCAAATGCATTCATGTCTTCTGGATATAACATGCCACCCCCCAGATATAATGCTTCTTGTGGATCTCTAAACTTGAGAACAAATCGACCAGCAGTATTTCCTGGAAGGTATGGTTCCAATTACAATTGTCTTTCTCATGATGATTCTAACACTGTAATTCGAAATATTTAGTCATCAGAATATTTTTTTTTAATTCAGAAATGAAATATTTTTTAGTACAGAAATGCTGTGTATTTCTTACTGTTTATATTGATACTACAAATATCTGTATTCTTATGTTTGTTTTTTTTTCCTTTTTTTGCAGATCACCGTTTTCTCCTTTCCGTGGTGGACCGCCTTTCGGAGGAGCTCCAATTAGAGGGGTGTGTGTTCTTTACAAGTAGTATTATTTCGTAGTTATGCTATTTACTTTATTTGTTATCATTTCAGGATGATTTAACTATTCTATTGATATTTCAGTCTTTTTATTGTTAAGTAATTCATCAATACATTTATATATAATATTTTTCTCTAACGTTATTTTAGATGTTGCGAACACCGCTACCACTGATGCATTCGCCAGGGATAGGGAGAGGGCTACGAAATCATTATCCACCGCGACATTTTCCACCCAGTTTGTTAGCTAATAACTCCGGTATGAGCTAAGTGATGTTTTTCAGTCATGAATATCTTGTCTTTGTTATAATGTAGAATTCTTGATGAAAACAGCAATTATTGATGCCAGTAGTATGCAGTGGTGTTGAATATCATTTAATAAAAAATGTTTGCAGTTTAAGATATCAAGTAGTCTTATTTTGCTTATCATTATGCTTAACATGCATTCTGTGTTTTTTTTTTTCGTTTTTGTTTTTTTTTTTTTTCTATATGCATTAATAAATTAAGTTTTAATACAGGAGCAATCATTTAGAACAAAAGTTTAGAATAAACTTTTGGAAGTAAAATCGATTTGTGATTTTGTTTGCTGCTAAATCTAAGAAAAGTGGTTCATATAGAAAATTATTAAGGAAAAAAAAAATTCAGATGACACAAAAATATAAAACCTGTTGCAGAAATATTAGGTTATATGAAAATATAATCGACAAAAAAAAAAGATTCAACGCTTGTAGTTTTATCATCCTTTCAGACGGTTACAAAACTACGCAAGAAAATCGATGGCGTAATAATGAACCGATAGATGGATGTGTTGACAATTCTAGGCACGATGAATGGGATAGTAATGCTATGGTACCATCCAGTAGTCATGAGGAATGTTCACAACCCGAATCAACCAAAACTGGTAGGTTACTGAATTTGGAATGATTTTGTTCCATATTATCTAGAAAAGAGAAAATATTTCAAACGGACAAGAAAATAGTTGTTTTAATTGTATTAAGAAAATTATCTTAAGAAAAGATACTGAAACATCAGTGCTCGATTCGTATGTGTTCTTGTCGCAATAAATGATCTCTCTACAGCAATTAAGCCCTAGTCATTACTCACAGTAATTGAAATTTTGATCTTCCTTTGATACTTAAGCGTAATTCTATTGAGTATTATATGATGTTAATATTACTTATGATATAACTTTTGACACGACTAATTATTTTACTCACTTTTATTATGTGTTGAGATCTATTATATTTTTAAGTTTACACATAGTTATTAATGTCACATTTAAATTATTGTTGGTTTAATTTTAGAAAAACGGATAAAAAAGAGGACTGAAGTGGATGATTCAAGCAATGAACCTGTGACATCGACTACTCATGATGATGAAAACGCTGCAGGAAGCGGTGCTGTCGAAAATTTAGCATCCGAAGTGAAAGTGCCCGGTAGCACAAGTGTAATGCCAAACAGTGATGATTTGAAGGTAATTAGGAATTTTTTTTTTTACTTCTGCAAAAATATATTTTTGATTGTAGTGGTTTTGATAGAACTGTATAAATGCGCGACATATTAATGCTAATAAAGCTACAAATTTTTAATTTTCTTCGTCTCATATATAATACGTTAGTTTCAGTTGCAAAGAAGCCAGGATTTCTCTAGTGTGAACGATTCTAATTAATTGGATTTGAATTCATTTCTGAAATTTTTGCATATTTTTGAGATAATATTACAGCAGTATATCCTAGAAGTGAGTGAATTTTCAGTGGAGCATAAACCATTTACTTTTATCTCATCTCATATATAAAGGCATTTTAAAGCATGATATTACTTTTACTACAGTGATGTTCGTCTTATAGCACTTATAATAAGAGTATTTCTTGCAAAAATTTCTAGGGATTTTGATTTATAAAAAATTTCTTGAATATATTTCCTCTGAAACATTTTAATTCCATTTTCTTTTATAAGCAGTGGATTCTGTTGACGCATTGTTTCCAAATTTTTTTAATTAACCAATTGTAACAGCACGTAATCTAAATAAGTATGTGAGCTATATTACCAGCATAGTATGTGTCAATATCTTTTACTTTTTTCTTTTTTTTTTAAAAAATTGAATTTTGTTGAAATGTATTGTTCGCATAGCTTCTGGGTGAGAATAATGCCTGATAGTAGCTATTGTATTAAATAGCTATTTCCCGTTGCTAATAACTGAAATAAATCTTTGACTTTGGGAATAAAAAAAATTAGACCTTTTTAATTGCAGTATATTTCTTGAATTATACTCCAGAGAGCTGGTTAAAAATTTTGCTTGTTTATTTTTGTTTTAACTTTCAGGCTGTAACAATGAATGAGGATAGGATGTTGGAGCAAGCAATTGTTTATGGTGATGATGAGGAATAATATGCCTTTATCTCTGTATATGCGTTGTATTGCATTTTATGCAAAAGTGATCTTTAGCCTCTTATTGTTAAATTAAAAAATTAGGTTGTCGTAACTTCGAAAAAATGGTGGAAACAGACAATGTGATAGAGGTTGATAGAGATAGTTTGTTAAGATGATGATAAATACAAAGTGGATATTTGAGATCAGGAATTTTGGAATTTTTGAAGCACGTTAATTTTAGAGAAAGACCATCTGGAAAAAAAATAGGACCTATATTATTAATCTATAGAAAATATCCGGAAAAAAAAAATTTTTTTTTTCTTTTTATAATTCAATTATGATTTTTTTTTCTTTTTATAATTCAATTATGAAACTCTTTTTTTATTGTTCAATTATGAAATCCTTTCTTTTCTCTTTTTTGAAATTTAGTTTTGATACCGAACACTGAAGTATTACAGTGGAGGTTATTTTATTGGTGACTTGTTTCTGAATGATTTGTTGTTTATCTTCAATTTTTATTATTTATTATTATTATTATTATTATTATTATTATTATTATTATTATTATTATTATTATTATTATTATTATTATTATTATTATTATTATTATTATTATTATTATTATTATTATTAATGTTCAACAGATTTTGTTCATTCTTTTATCGTTTGTTTTTTAGATCAACCATTCTACGTCATCTCATCATAACTACGTTCTTTAAATAATTTTTGCAGCAATTGTTTGTAAAAGTAGAAAATAAAAATTAAAAGATTTATGATTTATAAATTCGATAATTTTCATTAGGGAATAATTTTCACTCAATAATTTTCATTGTTTTAATTGCTGTTATCAAATTATTTGTCATGTTCGTTACTTCCATCTCCTGAGCGGAAAGAGTCTACTTGCTGTTCTAGTAATTCATTTCATGTAAATAAATTCATTTCTGGCTCTCTCTCTCTCTCCCTCTTCACATTGTTTTGATTAACTCTTCTTTAATTTTAATTTTCTTTAAGATTTTTTTCTCCTACCATTGACAATTTGTACCTATTATCATCCTACAATGTCATAGGGTAAATTATATTATCAACTAAGGAGTAATATAGTAGTAAGTTATATGTCGTGATTTTTTAGAAGAAATCCTAAAGTTGTAGAATTCTGTAAGTCATACTAGTAAATCGAAGTTATAGAGTTTTGAAAAAGTTAAAATTGAGAACTACATAGTTTTTTGAAAGAGAAAATTTAACGTTAAATCATTTTAGTAAATGAGATAGTGTTTGCACATGTCTTGTAACTTTTAAATTCAATTAAATCTTTCAGTTTAAATAAACTATATGTAACAAGGGAAGTTATAAATTAGGATGAAAGCAAATTAACATTAAATTTTATTATAACAATTGATGCGAGCAAAAATTGATGAGATCATTTGTTATGAAAATGATATACAATAAATTTGAACATAATACATCCTTTACTTAATGAAATAAAAAAGATTGATTGAGATGAAAGAAGAGATTTGAGGCACAATTAGGATGATGGTTTTAAAAAATTATGTAAAGTTATACAATTTTAATCAATTAGGACAGTTCTCTTCAAAAAAATAATTATTGATAAATTATCATTTTAGTCATAGTAGTGACAATAATAGTAATAATATTATTAATATTTGTAGTGTTATAATTTCGTATTATTAATAGTGATAATAATAGTAATAATATTTATAATAGTATGATCTATTATTACTATTATTTATATTTGTTTATATTATTATTATTATTATTATTATTATTATTATTATTATTATTATTATATTGTTATTATTATTGTCATTATTATTATTATATTACTATTATTATTATTATTATTATTATTGTCATTATTCCTATCATCTTACTAATTAATTATTAAATGATGACAAATAAGAAAGATTAGCAATGACATAATTATTCAAAAAATACTATTTTGGAAGATTTTTGTCTAATTAATGTAATTAGCAATAAAATGATGCATCAATTATTTTAACCATTCATTTAGTGTTATAATGAATACAACAATCATTTAATTAAATTATATTAAACTAAAGATGAACACAAAATGCTTCTTTTTTCTACACAAATTATAAAATCTTCATTTGTGTGTATACGTAAATTTTCAACTAATTTAATGGATTTTCTAGTCTCACATAAAATAATTTTGTTGAAATTGAACGAATTATTTTTTTTCTGAAGGTTTTTTTTTTTACGAAATATGAAAATTTGATAAATATATGGTACAATGTGATAAATGTATAAAAGAAAAAAAAATTTTCAAAATTTTTGAATTTATTATGCGGTTCTTATCAATTTTTTTTACTGATTTTATAATTCAAATTAATTAATTATGCTTATTAATTACAGAATAATTGATAAAAAATTTTGTATAACATATGTATTTCAAAAAAAAAAGTTTTTTTTTTCTTTTATGAATTTAATAAAATAAATTTAGCTGAAAAAAATCATAATATTATTAACTATCCATATTTTGATGATTTATGATGATAAACAATAGCATCTCTTGATAATGATGATGATGATGATAATAATGATGATGATGATGATAGTGATGACGATGATGATGATGATGATGATGATGATGATGAAGCTATAGGATATGGATTATTTTGTCGATGATTTAATCGTTGTTTATTCCTATGTATTCGTGAAATGGTACCACTTCTTGGTCGATTAGTAACATAATCAACAGCAATACCTTCCAATGCATATTCATAATCATCACGCATTAATCCACCTAAAATAAATTTTAATAAAATTTATTATTTCAAAAAATTTATTTTTGCTAAGCTTTTTTTTTTCCTCTTCTTCTATAGCAAATTTTTATTAAAATTTAACAATAAAATTTTACATCGTTATGTAAACATATAAAAAATATATAAGAGAGAAAAATTTTTTATAAATTTATTATAGTTTGAAATGAAATAAATGAATTGAGAATATTGCATTTTTACAATTTGAAATTTTGTTTAGAATTCATAGATGGAATAAAAAAAAAAAAGGTAGAGTTTTTTTTTTTTTTTTTCTTCTGAAATAGAAATTTTTATTTTAATGATTTAAAATAAAATTGAAATTATTTTTTAAATAAAATAACTAAAAATTAAATAAGATTTAAAGAAAAAAAGAAGAAAATTTAAGCTACTTAAAGGCTATGTTTAATTTAAATTTAGTTTTAAATTTGAAAAATTTTTTGATGTACTATGACGTTATTTTTGAAGTACTTTCTATTTGTTTATTTTGTGATGTAACAACAAAAAAAAAGAAATATGCAACATCAAATCAGATCAACAACAATTATTCAAAGACAAATTACAATCATTAATTAATTGACCTAATTAATTAATTAGTAGTAATTTAACGCTTTATTAAATAATAAAATAATAATATTTAGAATTATTTTATGATTGAACTTTTTTTTTTTTTTTTTTTTGAGAAAACTTACAATTCTAATCAGTAGAGTTCTCATACACTAATGTAATTAAACTAATTAGTTCACAATTACTGAAGTATATTTATATATTATCAATGAGTTTAATTTATTGAATGATTTATTAATTGATTATTGTAATTTGTAATAGTTATTTGTTAATTTAAAAATATTAAAAGAAAAATGATAAAATTGAAAAAGAAAAAATAAAAAATAATAAAATAACTTACCAGTTTCATACGATCGTCCTATTACCATCAAATTAGCATATGATAAAATGATCAAATAGAGGAAAAATGATTTTTGATTCAAATACATTATCAATTATTTGTTATTCGTACGACAACAAAATAAAATATGGAAAGCTGAAATTAACACTGTTAGTAATAATAAAATTAAAAATGGCATAAAAATAATAAAAATTTGAAATGATTCTAATTTCATTAACAAACCAAAAAAAAAAAACAAATTTAATTAAATATCAATGAATGGAATAGAAATCAAAAATGCGTCTTTTTAGTGATAATAATGTAAACAAGAAATATATGAAATGAAAAATAAGATGAAATTGTTTTTTTTTTTTTTGCTTTGAAAAGAAAAATTAAGAATAGTTGACATTGAATGAAACAATTAGTTGACATTCATTTAATGAGTTGACATTAGTTGACATTCATTTAAAGAATGTTAAACAGTTCCTAATTATTTTATAAACATGATAACTGATAATCATCCAGTGATAATTTCGTATTGCTATACTTATGATAAGCGATATCATAGCTTAGTGATTGGTTTAAGCACAATAATATGATAAGAAATTAAGAAGTGATTATCAGGATCTCTCTAATCTTCTTTTCAGCCTATCATTAAAAAAAAATATTCTTAAACAGGTGTAATACTCAAGCATGCTAATAGCTAATGGGAAAAGATAGGTGAAGTTTAAACTGAATAATAGTCGTATAGTTTTTAACTTAAATAAATTAAAATTTAACTTATGATTTGAATGGATGTAAGACATAGCAAATAATTGGTATAACTTATAGTTTAGACAGAAAATCTAACAAATAAGTCTAAATATGTAGTCTAAAATAAAAATATGGTTTAAATGAATGGCCTAGCAAATAAGAATATAATACATAGTTTAAATAAGAAGCCTTATAAACGTAAGTAAGGATATAGTTTTATAAATAAATTAGTTAGAGTATAGCTTAGATTTTAGATTAAAAGCCTAGCAAATAAGTATAAAAATTTAGATGGAATAAAGGAATAAAATAAATAATATTAAGAAATTATTAAAATATATGCAAAATAATTTTTAGTAGCATTGTTTCATTAAAATTATACATTTTTAAATTATTTAAATTATATTGGAATTATTTTAGAAGTGAACTTCATTCAACCACATACATCTATCTATCTATCTATCTATCTATCTATCTATCTATCTATCTATCTATCTATCTATCTACCTATTCATTCATTTGTGATTCGATTGAACCTTTTGTTAACTTTTCGTTGACAAAAGAATCTTGTCACACTCCCCCGCCCT